CTATAGTTATATATTTATACTCATATGTACATGCAAGAACGTATGTACTTAATTCAATATGGTCTGATATATTTCCAAATATGTTTCACAGCGTTATGTATATGCATATGTATATACATACGTATATCCATATGTATACATTGTGTGTGTGTGTGTGTGTGTGTCTGTGTGTGTGTGTGTGTGTGTCTGTGTGTGTGTGTGTTTATCAGTACATTACCCAAAATGTTGTAGCCTCTTTCCTAACATCTCCAAAAACCTGAGCATTACAGCATAGTTAAACGACGAATATCTATACTAGGAAGACGCAAAAAGACGTTTATTGCATTTTAACACAAGAAAAGCGCATTTTTTCTCGTGAAACAAACACAGACAGAAATACAGAAGCAGACAGAAACAGATATAGACACATACAGAAACAAACATAGACACAGACACAGGCAGACAGAGAGGCAGACACATACAGACAGAGAGACAGACACAGACACGTACAGATAGAGAGACAGACACAGACACGCACAGACAGAGAGACAGACACAGACTACAAGACAGACAGACACAGACAGAAAGACAGAAACAGGATCACACACTGATCCTGGAACCTCCGGCGACAGTCTCGTTCAGTCGACCCTCTCCAGCTTTTATGTGCCGATCGAGGCCCAATAAATCAAACGGCAGATTCCTTCAATAATAAATTCGGACGAAGGTAGATTTCCCTACTCGATTTTAATTTTTTATTTTTCTGTTTGATATACATGCATATATATATATATATATATATATATATATATATATATATATATATATATATATTATATATATATAATATTCTATTTTTTTTCTTCTTCTTCTTTGCGTTTATTTTATTCTATTTATTTTATTTTTTAGGGGGGGGAGGGGTAAATGAGTTAATGTAAGGTAATGGCAGGCAAGAGGGGAGGCTGCTGGGCAAGCTGGAGTAAGATGAGGGATTCGATGGAGAGAGGGGAAGCTGGGCCTTGGCAGAGGGACAAAAAAAGAATATGTATATACCGATAATGGATACATATAAATAAATGTGTAAAGACATATATTCACACACACACACACACACCACACACACACACACACACACACACACACACACACACACACACACACACACACACACACACACAACACATATATATATATATATATATATAATATATATATATATATATATATATATATATATATATATATATATATATATATATATATATATATATATATATATATATATATATATATATATACATATGTGATATATATATGTATATATATATATATATATATATATATATATATATATATATATATATATATATATATATATATATATATATATATATATATATATATATATATATATATATATATACCCACAGAAACACACACACACATACACCTATATATATAACAGTCAGAAAATCTAAAGTTCAGAATGAGCAAAAAAATATCACCGGTCTTCCGTCGACAGTTTACAACCACGAAAAACAAGAACGATTAAAGAAAACCACTCCAGCGGATGGTTTACGTGTAAGCATCTATCCACGTGCTGGAAAAGAAAATGTCAAGAACGAGAAAAAAGGGGGAAACGAAGAAGAAGAGGGAGAAGTAGAAAAAGGAAGGAAGAGAAAATATGATGAAATAGAGACAAGAAAAAGAAGAAGAACAAGTACAAGAACAACAACAAAGAGAAAAGAAAGATGAAAAAGATGAAAGAATAGCAGGAAAAAAGAAGCAAGAAAAAAAAAGAATAATAAAGAAAGAGCAAAGGATGAAAAAAAAAGCAAGAAAAAGGAGCAAAAGAGAATAGAAGAAAAGAAAAAAAAACTAATACGACAAGAAACATGAAAGAGAAAGAGAAAAAAAAAAGACAAGAACGTATGAAGAAATAAATAAAATAGAACCCCTTTTCTCCCACGTCTCCCAATCCCTCTGTTCTCGCCCTGATGGCTATAACGTCTTGGTCTCATCAAGTCTTCCATTTGCGGAGATAAACTCAAAATGACCCGATCAGCTGTTTTTGCACAGGGTACACACGCAGAACGAAAACCTCATATTTCTATTTCATTATTTCGTTTAGTTTCAAGAGGAAGGTGTATTTAGAATTTGTTTTTTGTTTGTCCAGTGGGTGGGTTTAAATGTGTGGGATATTATGAGTATAAACATAGCTATAAATGCATACAGGCATGTAAACACATTATAACGTACACACATGCTGGTACGCACGCACACACACACACACACACGCACACACACACAGACACACACACACACACACACACACACACACACACACACACACACACACACACACACGCCCACACACACACGCACACACACACACACACATACATACACGCACACTCATACACAAAAACACACAAACACAGCACATCCCCCCCCCCTACACACCCACGTACACACACTTTACTCTGCGTTAAATCACTTAAAAAAAGGCTGTAGCTTTTAACTGTGGGACAAACATGGCGGTGTCACGCCAGCCCGAAAACACAACACCTCCAGCGCGTGTTTTCTGCTAAAATTTCTTTCCTTCCTTTTCACTGACACGTTGTCTTTAAATGTCTAAAATTAGTGTTCAAGTTATACACCTAAGCCGTTCTTTTATGAAAAAGATAAAAAGTTAAAAAAAGGTATATAAATGATTTCAAAAGCATTTCAGAAATACCTTCTTAACCGCCCCACCTAAAAGAAAAAAGAAAAAAAATCATATTTCCTCAAACTACAAAGTCCAATAAAAATTTCTTCTCAGTCGGAAGAGAAAAAAAAAGTTCCTCAAATTCTCCTGACATGTTCCTACATTTACAGAATTCTTTGGGGTGACAATTTTCGCCGAGAACAGTTACACGACCAATACTCTGTCCATGGGCGTCGCTCTTCAACTAGTGGAACAGAAAACTTTAGGAGACTCTCCCCCTATTTCTGTCTCTCTCTGTCTCTCTTTTTCTCTCTATTTTTCTTTCTCTTTCTATCTCTATCGTATATGTTTTTCTTGTTTTATTTCTAGTATTTTTTTCTTTCATTATCTCTCTCTCTATATTTTTTTTTCTCTCTCTCTTCCTCCTCCCCCCCCCATCTCCTCTCTCCTCTCTCTCTCTCTCTCTCTCTCTCTCTCTCTCTCTCTCTCTCTCTCCTTCCTTCCTTCCTTCTCTCCCTTCCTCCCTCCCTCCCTCCCTCCCTCCCTCTCTCTCTCTCTTCTTCTCTCTCCTCTCTCTCTCTCTCTCTCTCTCTCTCTCTCTCTCTCTCTCTCTCTCTCTCTCCCTCCCTTCCCTCCCTCCCTCCCTCCCCCTCCCTCCCTCCCTCCCTCCCTTCTCTCTCTTCTCTCTCTCTCTCCTCTCTCTCTCTTCTCTCTCTCTCTCTCTCTCTCTCCTTCTTTTTCCCTCCCTCCCTCCCTCCCTTCCCTCCCTCCCTCCCCCCTCTCTCTCTCCCTCCCTCCCTCTCTCTCTCTTCTCTCTCTCTCTCTCTCCTCTCCTTCTTCTCTCTCTCTCTCCCTCCCTCTCTCCCTCTCCTCGTCGTGGTCACTCTGAGCAGCGTTTAAAACCTGTCTTTTTAATTCCACTGAGTGAAGACAACTTGTTCGGCGTCGAGTTAAGCGGCCACTAAAGTATTCTTTAAAAGTTTATCCAATTTCGATGTGGTTTTCTTTTTCATATAAACATACACAGACACACACGCATACACACACACACATACACAGACGCACACAAACACACACACAAATACACAGACACAAACACACACACACACACACACACAAACACACACATCCAGACACACCACACACAAACACACACACACAGACAAACACACAAACACACAACACACACACAACACACACAAACAAACACACACAGTCCCCTCTAACCTCCCTCCCCCCATCACCCTCCCTATCCCTCCCACCTACCTATCAACCCCTAAAAAAAAAAAAAAAAAAAAAAAAAGAGAGAATAAAGGAAGGTTAAAAATGAAATAAAAAGGTCAATGAAAATGAAATAAAGGAAAGGTCAGCTATGAAAGGTCGGACACCTCCTCCCTGGTGAGTTGTATGCTTATATGAGCTTCCTGGAAAAGAGGACACTACACGGGTGGACGCAGGGGAAGGAAAGAGGGGAGGAAAGAGGGAGGAAGAGGAGGAAAGGAGGGAAGAGAAGGAAAGAGGGAGGAAGCGGGGAGGGAAGAGGAGGGAAAGGGGAGGAAGAGGAAAGGAAAAGGGAAGAAGGTATGGAAGAGGGGAAGGATAGAAAGATGTGCGGGGGGGAAGGAAAATGGAAAAGAGAAGGTAAGAGGAAAGAAAAAGGGAAAGGAAGCAGAAAACAGGGAAGGAAAGAGAAAAGAAAAGGAAGAAGATAAGGAGGGAAGGATAAAGGGAAAAACAAAAGACGGAAGGATAGAGGAAAGGAAGAGAGAGAGAGAGAGAGAGAGAGAGAGAGAGAGAGAGAGAGAGAGAGAGAGAGAGAGAGACAGACAGAAACAGACAGAGAATAGACAGAGACAACAGAAAAGAAAAGAAAAGAACGAAATCCACCCGGTCAAGTTCTGTTCCGCCCGCGTCCCTCGGGGCAGCAGCGTCGGTGAGGGAGCGCCGGCGAGCAGAGAGACCGGAGCAGGACGAGCGATGAGGGATAAAAATGTTCGTTTGGACACGTTGCAGAACTCCCCAAAAAGTCGTAATATTGGGGAGGAATGTCGAGACTCTGAGGGAGAGTCCCGGTGAATTTGTGAGGGAGAAGAAGGCCTGACGTGGTGTGTGGGTGAGAGGGGTGAGGGGATGTGGGTTGGTGTGCGTGGGTGGGTGGGGGGAGGGAAGGGAGAGGGGAAAGGACTGCGCGTGTTGGTATGTATTTGTGTGTGTCAGTGGGAGGGATATTTGATGTGTGTGTGTGTGTGTTGTGTGTGTGTGTGTGTGTTGTGTGTGTGTGTGTTGTGTGTGTGTGTGTGTGTGTGTGTGTGTGTGT